TCCTGAATTGTGGACAAATGGCTTCGAATGTTTCGATGGCTAATAATGTAAGTATCACATCTTTTGATTTATGATTTTTATATTTTTTTCGATGAGTTTTATCTCTTTCGATTGACGAAATCATTTCTACCTCTTGAATGTTATTTCTTTCGATTAATAACATTACTTTATATATATATATATATATATATATATATATGAGTACTCATGTAAAGTTCTAGTGGCTTGCTCGATGAAACCGAACTCTATATTATTTTATCGCGAAGTTTTTATCATAAATTGAAGCATTGATATACTTCATTTTGAAACAATTCTACTAGCAGCAACACATGGATTTTATATTGGCAATGATCATCTAAGTTCAATTTTTATTTTTAAAGTGGAAAAAGGCCGATGGAAAGTTCAATCATATATTTTTATATCTTCCACGCACTATCATGCCAAATTGATACAGATTTTTATAAAATGAAGTCAAAATGGTATCCATTCCCCCAACCTCATCATAGGCATTGTTTTGTACGCTTGATTCAAAGTGCCATGATATATACTCAAATATATGGTGGACCTGCCTCGTTGTCCTAGCTATTTCCCAAGAAACCGACCACGTTCTTGTTAGGTTTGGGTGTCACTGGAATTGGCCAGATTTTTGGCTACTAATCCAAAGTCATAATCATTACAAAATTCTTTCTTCTTTCTCATCAACTAATTCACAATCTGAAGTAACCAGTGAATATTAAAAAAGAAAAAGGAAAAAAACCAAAAAAAAAAAAAAAGTAACTACTATTTCTAATTCAAGAACTGAACAAGTATTGCTAATTAATGACCCTACAATATAGGTAGTAGACCAGAAAATTGACCATCTTGAATTTGAAAGCCCTTTATTTTCTAATAAGCAAAAGCCATGAAGCCACCCATGCAAATTGCAATATCAAGTGCAAATGAACGTGAAAAGAGAGAATTAATGAGAGCTTTACTAATTTTAAAGCTACAAGGGATCGAGTTTAACTAAAAGTAACCCTATGTAATAATAGATTGGTCAAGTCAAAGCAGAGTGTTTGTGTGTGTGTATATTAGGTCAAATCCTGTTGAAATTAAACGGTACAATTTGGGCAAAACAATCTCAGCCTCAGGGTCCCGGGATCGATGGGCTCTCTTGAAACTTGGTGGGTCCTTGTCTGCTATCATTACATTCTTTGTTATCGATGAAAATTATTCTATTGATGTTCTGACTTATCAGAAATTCATGTTACAATATTATAGATGTTCTTTTGAAGTTGTTGAATTCTATCATGAAAATTGAAAATCAAATTTGCTTTTCACAGCTAGCTGGTTCATGTTATTTGCTTTGCTTATAGCATCGAATATATCACTATGCTATCATAAGATGCTTTCCTCTATAAGCTCACAATCGATAAATATTCATGCATGTGAGGAAAAAAAGATATCATAAGTTGCTTTCCTTAAGCTCACGATAAATATTCATGCATGTTAGGAAAAAAGATATGATAAGTTGCTTTCCTTAAGCTCAAGATCTATGCTCATGCATGTTAGGAATAAAAAAGAAGAAGAAGAAAAATTGTATTATTTATCGATGGTATTACGTAATTCAGATCATTGAATATAAGTTGATAATCTACAATCTTTTTTCTAATGTGCATACAAATGCGATGTCCTTTTCAAAACGTGTTTAGAATATTGAATGGAACAATTTCTATGCGATTCTTATTTCAAATCAATGCTTTAATTGGGATTCTTTTAAACCCACCATCAAATTATTGTTTTTATCTCCGTGGAACAATATTAATACAGTTTAATGCATATATGATTGGGGAGCAGCCTCTAATGCAACCAGGCACCAAAGATTCTTGGTCTCCGGGAAGTGATAAATACGAATTTCTTTCATTTTTTGCCATTCCACTTGTCCCGAAAATGAAGAACTATCCACATAATTTGGTCTAACTGATATATTGCACCAGTTTTTAATCGTTAGAGATCAACCATTAATTCAATCAACTATATATATATACCCTTTTAAATAGAAAGCTTTTCGATCGATGTTGAAATTTGTACAGCGTTATATTATCTTTTACTATTAGATTTTAAATAGAATTAGAATATTATATATGTGAGTAATTTATTTATAAAACATAATTGCACTTATAATATAATCATTATAAGTGTAAATATATGTAGTACATATTTGAAAATTATAAATATAAAAACTTGTAATAACTTGCTAGATAAAACTCATCTAAATATATTTTTATTTCAATAAAAATTTAAAGTTTTTTTTTTTTTTCATATCCAAAAACTCAAATGGTAAAACTTGAAGTTAGATATTTTGGTTTTTTTAGTATGGAAAATTTGTTTTAGGGTTTATAGATAGAAAACTATTTTAATGGGTGTTTTTGGATAGAGTAGTGCTACATAACACCAATGACGTCAAAAAAAAAAAGTCACCATAATTTTATACGGATAATGTTTTTTTTATATATATATAGGGATACAAGGAAAGAAAAAAAGTTGGGTATTTTATTTTTGGAGGGAAAACAATATATAAAGCAATATATTTCGGACCAGTCCTTGTTTATCGTGTAAGATTCGATTCTCAATTATACTAATGATGAAAAGGAATTTAGAAAGACAATTACTTACAAACAAGTATTTAATGTTAAGAAATAGTCGTTGAAGGATATTCTAACACATAATAAGCCGATTACTGAAATATATCAATTTTAGCACACTATTTCGAGCATGCTAAATTTACACTAATAGATAACCAACAATATTTAAAACAATAAATTTAACATAAATCCTTCATATTTTTATCGTGTAAGATTTGAATTCCCAATTGACCAATGAATTACAAACTATACTTTAATGGTAAGATATAATAGTCTTAGATATGCTAAGACATATTAGTTGAGTTAAGAAGTATATCATTTTTAGCAAACTCTTTCAAGCACACTATATTTACACCGATAGATAACCAATAATATTTAAAGCAATAAATTTAAGATAAATCCTTTATATTTTTATCGTGTAAGGTTTGAATTCTCAATTGAGCAATGAATTACAAACAATACTTTCATGATAAGACGCACTAGTTGAAGAATATGATAAGACGTATAAGTTGAACTAAGAGGTTTATTGTTTTTAACATACTCTTCGAGCATACTAAATTTACATCAAAGAGAAAAAAGATATGGGATGAGATTGATTGAGTTGGGCGGTCAACAAAAGTAAATAATCAATTATGCATGGTTACCAAAGTCATTAACATAGATATTATAAATAAATTTGAAATTCAAATTTTGTTATTCAAAATTATAAAACCATAGTCTGAAATTTTTTGTGAGTATTATATCATTTAACTTTTTAATTTTTTTTAAATTTATCCCTAAAAAAATTTTATTTTTGAAAATGATGTTTGTCATCACCAAGCATTTTTGTTTTGGATAAAGTATACTTTTGTAGAAGGGAGTTTGCAATTATTCCTTTATATTATCTTTGTTGACTTGAATACTTCAATTTGATTTTCAAGAGTTCTATGATGACAACTATCAAGTGGCGCAGGCCAGTTTTGATGATTGAAATATGGAGGATAAATATATGGCCTGGAAGATGCCGCCAAAGATTACAACTTTCTGCTGGTGACAATTACAAATACTTTTGATTTATCGCTATTAGTACCTAAATGTGGTATAAGACGCATAGAAAAGTTCAATATACTTTCCATTTCCAAGGAGGCCTAAATTTCATGATGGTTCACAATCATTAATTAAAAGGACCACAGCACAGCCTAAGATTTTCCCAGTGGTCATCCATCCAACAATCACGAGAACTTTCTTATCTTTACCTCTCCTTTAGTCCTATTCTCTCTCCTTTTTTTTTTTTTTCTCTTTTTCTCTTAACGTTTTCTACTGAAAATTTGGCTACTCGATCGGTAATTATGCAGCAGAAAATTTTCCAGAGCAGCCCTGAGATGTTTAATGTTTAATTTGTTTATGACCCCATAAGTTTTGTGTAGAGTTTTTTCTGTTAATGATAGTATTTTTTTTTTTCATTTTCGATTATCACAAAAATCTTTTTGGCTGTTATCAATTTAAATGATTTTTAACAAAGATAGTAGCATATAATTTTTTTTCCTCCATAAATAGGAAGTTACAAGTTCAAATTTCTTTGAAATATTATCAAGAAAAAAAAACCTAAGTGATAGACCTGTTTGCTTATTTTCTTGATTTTGAACTTTAGAATCAATATCTAAAGAAATTTATTTTCATGAATACATTAAATTGATGTGAGGTCTGCATTTTTAAAATATTTTATAAAGATAAATTTTTAAAAATTTATTTTCAAGAATATATATATATATATATATATATATATATATATATATATATATATGGAAAACAAGCATAAATATTGATAACAAACACATATTAAAGAATATGGTGTGTTTATATGATGTTCATGAATATTTGGAGGGGTCTTATTATGCACACCTATGTTTGAATTGAAGTTAAAGTGTCTGTCATGAAGTAGAATAAACTAATAAATATAATACTTCACTCCATTTTAAAAACTAGCAACAGGATTTAAACATGAAATCGTCTATCCAACTACTTAAGCCGCCCTGAGTTTGACAACTACAAACATGTGAATGGTGCTCAATTCACTTCTTTTAAGAACACAAATTGGTGGCCATGGTTCATCATTTTTTCCCCCTTTGGTAGGCGTCTGAGGTCGGGCGTTGTGCCAAACAAAAATATCTTGGTTTTGACCAATTCCAAATTAACATTTATCAATGAATTAAAATAATGTGAATATCAATCAACCAATCATCAGTTTAGTTACTCTCAATAGATAAAATGTATTTCTTATCCGTCTCATTTGTGAGAAAATTCAAATATGTCGCTGGCAGAAAGCTATAACGTTCTTATCGGATTCGTAATCACTGTATCTGTGCTGGGGAAAAAAAACAAAAGGAGAAGCAGAAATTACATGCAACAGGAGATGGATCGTATCCTTATCACAAAACAAGAAGTAATCAACAAAAACTGGGCATCTGCCTCTTTTTCACCATTTTCGTGATACTCATGATTCAATGCATCCTTTTCAAAATGTGATGTGGTTGCTGGTGGACACGAAGGCCATTCTGCTTTCTCAACCGCGTCAAGGAAACCGTGTGAGCTAGGGTGAGCATGCATGTGCCTGTATTTGAGAGGGAGACCTAAGAGATGACTCTTCATTGTCCACGTCGGTCGAGGTCTCCAAGAGTGTAGGACTATCTCACGGGGCCTACCAAACCAAACTCATGATTAATTGTGGAGCCTACGAAGCTCAACTGCAAAACCTTCCAACTCAATAAATTGTAATGAAATCATTAATTATTGATTGAGAACGACCTTTCTTCCAATTTTTTAAGATTGTTCAAATAAATCTTTCATCCTCTACTTAATATTATTCCTGCTTTATACAAGAATATTTGCAGACGTAGTATTACGTTATGGATGACATCATCTAGTTTAATTTTTTAAATTAAAAAATTATTTATCAAAATATTATGCTATAGAATACCAAATAATTATCAGTTCGAATTATATTATTTTTATTTTTATACAAATTTAATAAATTTTTACTTTGAAAAAATATATTAAAGAATAAAATAAGTCACATTTTAATATCTCAACCAATAGAAATTAAGACCCTTTTTTCCTTGTAATTTCTAAATGATAATTTAAACTATAATTTTTCTATTTTAGTATTTAAATTGCAAAATATATTAAATAAATTAAGTTTATTTTCTCATAATTACCTTTTTATTGGAGCAAATTGATTGTCATGTCAATGATTGAAACCATACTTCTCCGATGGATATTTTAAATGAATTTTTTTTATCTAAATCGAAGGATGTCGTTTTGTTATTAATAATCATATTACTTTATTTATATATGAATGGATTTTATTTAATGATTTATATATATATTCTCTCAAATTTCAACTATTTTAAATAATTCCTTTACACTTTTTTTTTTTGAAAAAAATTAATAATTCGAATAGGAAGAGCAAAAAAACAATGTCAGAGGATAACATTATTTTCATTTTGGATTAAAAATAGTGTGTTAAATAAAGTAGTGTAGATGTTTATATATATATATATATATATATATATATATATATATATATATATATATATATATATATATATATAGACTAAAATAACATCACTTGATTCTTTTTCAATCCAAACCCATCTTGAAAAATACTTTTAAACGCAACACTTGATGCGTTTTTCGGTACAAACATGTTTTAAAAAATATTTTTGAACACACTGCAAGTACATTATTAAATATAGTTTTAATAACCAATATCTACCTATTGTCACTTTGTTACCTCTAATTCCTCAAATGAAAAATGGAAGCCTGTGTTGTGACATTGTTGTACACTAAAAAAAAAAAAAGAAAAGAAAAGAAAAGAAACACTTAAATAATGATAAAAATTAACAACGGATATTAAGTTATCGGTGTATAGCGATGGATTACCAAATAAGTAAATATTGCTATCAATTTTTTGAAATTTTGGGTTAATAATGATAGAGTATCGATGAATGTATGACAAAACAAGTATCACTATTGAATTACATAGTAATTGTTTTGTAGTAAATTTAGCAAATGATTACCAACTAATTTGTAACAATATTTAGCAACAATTGATATTAGCCGTCGCTAATTTTGGAGGGATTTCACTCGCTAATTTCCCGCAAATGTGAGATGATTTAACAATAGTTTGACGACGTCCGTGACTATTATTTCGTCGTAATACAATGACAGATTGTGGTTGATTTGTGTTCGTAGTAAATACGATAACGAACATTTTGTCGCCAATAAGAGGAAAAAAGACACAATTTGATAAATTCAAATAGTTACAAAAACTTATGAATAGTGATAAAATCACATCCATCGCTAAAAAAAAGCTTAATTTGGTAGTAACCCTCTTCTTCCTCTTTTTCCCTCTCCTCCCTCACTCAAAAATCCTCGTCACCCAATCTTCCTTTGGCGACCTCGCACGATTGACGACAGTACCTCCTCCTCTTTCACCTTCTATTTTTTGATGCCTCTCCTCTTCTTTGATAAGTGTTTGTTTTTTTTTTTTTAATAGATATATCACTATTCATAGGGTGGATCTCTAGTGGCCAACCTTTAACTCCAGCCTCTTCTTCTCCGACGACAACTCATCGGTTACCATGTACGCTTTTAGTTATATATGTAATTTTAGTTAATAATTTTTTTTATTAATGCTTTTACTCTTACAATTTTTTTTTTTTATGGATTTTGACTTTATTAAACATATGCAACTCAGCGAGTTACTTCAATTTATACATTTTTTAAAATTTTATTGAATAATATTTGCTATTATTGTTTTTATTAGTTATTATTTGTAGTTCAATGCATGCTATTTGATGTTAATTAGTTCTAAATCTAATAATTATTATTAATTAGTTGTGTTAATATAAGTTAAATTATTATACTTAATTAGCTAAGATTTTTTTGTATTTTGTATTTTTTTTCTTGTTTTTAATAATAGTTTTACATTTTTGTTATTTGTATTACTATTAGTTAGTGACTTGCAATTAGTTTTTGATTATTATATACTTATTTATGTCAATTAGTAGCAAATATAATAATTTAATTATAATTATTATTTTTATTAGTAGTTAATTAGTTGTGGTTATTAATTTTGTTACCTTTTTTCCTTAAGAAAAAAAATTGTTATATTATTTTTTTTTATGTGTTAACTAATAAATATGGCATATTTTATTTATTTTTTTATTTTGTAGCATCGATATCCAATGGAAAAATTTAATTTGGGTACCATAGCCTTCTCTTCGACGCTACTTCTATCGATCTAGGTTTTTTTTTATTTATCTTTTTTTTTTTAATTTGAATTTTATTTAATATGTTAATTTTATTTTATATGATTTACGTATAGTTGTAGTTGATATGGTAATTTAGAATACTTTAGATTTATTTATGTGTTGATATTACTAGTCGGGGATCCCTATAGAGGGATTGCGTGCATGTGTTGTGTATTTTGGATGTATTATTTTTATGTAGGTGGAGTCTTCGATAATTGAAAACTTTCCAACTTACAAGGAAGACTCTATACAGATTTTGTTAGATTTTTAATGAAAGATGTATAAAACCTTAAATGTAAGCAACTTTTAAAATTGTTAATTAAATCATAAATACTCATTCGCTTAACTTCCATTCTAATTTCATATAAGTTAGAATGAAAGTTAATTGAATTGTCTAGATGTTGACAATTTGGAAATACAATGTCTTTTATAAACACAAACGTTATCGTTATTTGTACTTGTGTGAAAATTTTAACACCAACTCTTGTTGTTCTTTGAGTACATATAGGGACATGTGATGTTTCATGCTACAACCTCAATTGAGAGTTTCTAGTATGATTTAACACATCTCTATATCATGTACTAGGAGAATTGCACAAAGATGCTATCTAAATTTCGACCCGATCACGAATAACGATGACATTTGTGCTTGACAAAGAGATATCATTTAAGGAGTTAAAAGAATTTCTTAGAGTATTTGTTAGTGCGGTAGTAATTAAGTAATTTTATGTTGGCTTGGATATGTAGAAGGAAAAAATAAGTTTGAATCATGTATGAATCAACTTTAGGCTTACTAAAGGGATTTTAAATTAGGATTTTATGAATGAAATTGAAGAATTTATTCTATTTGTCGTTAGTAAACCTAAAAATATAGACGAAAGTAAGATAAGGTGTCTTTGTAATCGTCATAAGTGCTGATAACCTCAATCGAAAGTTTCTAGTATGATTTAGCACATCTTTATATCATGTACTAGGACAATTGCACGAAGATGCTATCTAAATTTCTACTCGAGCACGCATAACGATGACATTTGTGTTTGACAAAGACATCTCATTTAAGGAGTTAAAAGAATTTCTTAGAATATTTGTTTGTGCAATAGTAATTAAGTAATTTTATGTTGGCTCGAATGTGTAGAAGGAAAAAATAGGGTCGGATCGTGCATGGATCAAATTTAGGCTTACTAAAGGGATTTTAAATTAGGATTTTATGAATGAAATTGAAGAATTTATTATATTTGCTATTAGTCATCCTAAAAATATAGACGAAAGTAAGATAAGGTGTGTCTTTGTAATCGCCATAAGTGTCGAACAATATATATAAACAAATGACACAATTAAATATCATTTGGTGAAATATAATTTTGTGTTTGAATATTATGAGTAGATACATCATAGAGAAATTGACTTAGTGAGTTATTGTGAGTCGGAAAGTTATGACGAAGGTGAACGGATTTTTAATAAACCTATCAATGCATATCTAACAATGGTGATAATAAAGCACAATTAGCAATCAAATTCTGTAAGAGATTTTTGTCTCTATATAGCAATGAAAATAAAACAACTTATTGACCATATTGCGACGGATGTTACAATTACAAATTGACTATTTACATCATATTAGCGACGAAAATACTTCATTATAGCGATAACTTTCTTGTTGCTAATCTTATGATGGATGGTAACTTTTGTTGCTAATTATTAGCAAAAATCATTTTAGCTACAATTTAGTTTTATCGAACTTCCATCTTTAAAAAAAATAACGATGGAATATATAAATTTTTCGTTGCTAAATGGCGCTTTCTTTTCCTTTTTCTTTTTCTTTTCTTTTTTTTTTTTTTTTTTTTTTTTGGCCATTATACTCATCAATGGTGAGACTCAAAATGCTTGACTTGACACCATTCTTGCAGCTGCCAGTTAACATCATAATAGCTATGCGAGACACAGGCACATGGCCCAGGGGAATAATTTATAGTATTTTGATAGCTAAAGAGAGTGACATACGAAAAACAGATTACTTATTCTCAAGACTCAAGCATTAGTAGTGTCTCACGTAATAAATGTTAGCTTTTATGTTTTGAATAATGCTATGCTTACATTATTATTTTTCAGAATTTATTTATCAAAAATATCAATTATTAAATTCATAAGAGTTATTAAGGAAATCTATTTATTTAATGTATGAGATACTCATCCAATAATTGATATTTTTCCATAAATGAATTTTATAAAATAATTATGTAAGAATTAATAACATTATTATTTTAATTCTAGTGAATTTTTTCTCTATTTAGAAGTAAATTATATTTTAGTCTTTTTTGTTTCAAAAAATAAATTAATTGATCTCTATCGTTTTTAAAAATAATCATTTAATAATAATTCAAATAAAGTTTTTGAAATAAAAAGGATTAATTACTTCTCGAAACAAGAGGAATTAATTTATAATTCACTCTCCTGCTTAGTCATCTTGAATTTGATTTAAAAAAAAAAAATGGTTGTAAGAACTTTTATTTCTATAAATGCATTTGTTTCTATAAGAACACATTCTTTGATGAAATAAAGGATGAGTTTCGGGATAGGGGTTCCTTCAAGTTAGAGGTAATATAATCTATCATTTTAGGTAAATTTTAGACTATTGATTTTTTTAGGATTTTATTTTACTAAATTAATGGGTAGTTAATATCGTTTTAAAATTAGTAATTATTTTTTATTATTAAAATATTCAAAGTACTGATTTCAAAACATGATCATTTGAATTTACATATCATGATAGATCATTTTATTTTTAACTTTTGGTTTTGGCATTGAAAAATCAAATTTCAATTCTCTCGTATTTCTAAAAACAATTAACGGTCATGTTTCAAATTAACGTTGATTTTTAATTTAATGATTTAGATTACTAGAGAAAATTAAATAATAAAGCTTTAATTTATATTTATTTTTATTTTTAATATATATTACGTTACAACTGTTTAATTTGAATTAATGAAGTTAAATTTAATGAATATAACGTTGATGTTTCTTCATAAGTACGATCTATAGGATACCAATCCAGGAAAACAAGGTTGAAAAAGCAAAAGAGAGTTGGCAGGAAACAACGGAAAAAAAAGTAAGGAAATTCCGATATCTAGTCATAATAGGTTGCAGATGCTAACTCGGCAATAGCCAATAGGAATGTGCAATTCATCCGGCCATCTTTCTCTTTTAAAAAAGTTACCGCTGCAATCCCTCCAAGTTGCGCCAGTGGCTGAATCTGCCGACTCCAACATCCGCATGGAACGAATCCATCAGGGATACATTTGGACGTCGGCTATTACGTCCCTTATCCCAACTTCTTTCACGTGTAAAATAAATGATAACTTTTTGCAAGTTTTCCTACTTTCCACGTAACCCTCATGTAAATTTTCGAAGAAAAATTTGGTTCTTTTTCTCTCCAATTCTGGAAAGTTGATAGTGGGAAATGATATAAAAGGCACCTGATCCAGAGATATATATACTAATCATCGTTAAAGCTCAATTGGAAGAGAGGTTAATGCAAATATCTAAGCAACGTTCCTAAGTATGGAATTTAGATAAAACAAGCTATGTGTTATCAACAAGTCATCAACTCGTGGGCCAAGAAGTCGGTGAAAGAAAAAACAATGAACGTAACGATAGAGGAGTCTGTTGATCATCTAAGGAAACGAAACCAATACAAAGGAAGGAGAGAGGGATATCTATGGATATATATGGCGGGAATCCATTTGGCGTACATATGGTTGCTGATTCAATGGCATAAAAAACAAATTCTACACTAATTGTCCCTTAATTGAGCCCACCAATTACAAATCTCGTGGATAAATTTGTTTTCATGATCCGTGAGAAATTTAAGGCACGTACGGAGTAACGACTGATATTTATTTTATAAGAAAGAATTTGATACTAAAAAAATTAAAAAAAAAAAAAGAGAGAAAATTAAAACATAAAACTTAAATAAGATGAAAATAATCTCTTTTTTTTTTTGATATGAATATAATTTTTTTCTCTCTCTTTTTCTTTTACATCTCTCTCCTAAAAGTCCATTCAAAAAGTAAATATTGATTTACTCTTTGAGCATTTTAAAATTTCTCATGATTAACCATTTATCAAAATATTATTTACATTTTATTAGCTTATTTTAAGCACTTTTATTAGGTTTCTGGCTGTCAAAATAAAATATATACAACATAGGTTAGGGGGTAGTTTAAAAGGTTTATTATATGTTATTTAGGCTTTTATTCAACTTACAAATTGGTTTTATATCGTGAAAAGTCAAGATGAGTAAAATCTTGCTTGAATTTTAAGTTATTTGAAAACTGATCTTTAATTAAAAAAAAAATCGACATAGACCTTTTGCAACTTGGTTCATTTGAAATTGGATCGTTCTTTAAATTTTGTAGGATTCCGTTCACCAATTATAAATCTTTGCAGATAAAAATCACATGATTGTGCATATTGATCCAAATCCTTAATTTTTTTTACTAAACACTTAGATGAGTTTGACTTTTGACGAGAAAAAAACAACAAATATATATTTAAAACGTAATAAAAGAAAATCCATAAATCTGATGAAAAAACAAAAATTTAGCCTATGGAAATAAATTCCTTATAAATATTTTTATTTAGAAAAACTCAAAAATAATAACAAATGGATATTTTGTTTTCATGAAAAATATAACAAAATGACTCAATTTATTTTCTGATTTTTGTAACTAATAAAAAAAATTGTTGTTTTTTATTTTTCATGGATATTTTTATCATTGATGAGTTTTTTTTTTATCTCTTTTAAATATATATGTTTTATTATTTTTATGCTCAAAAGTCAAATTCTTTTTTATTCCTTTTTTTATCAGATTTATATATTTTTTCTTATTATTTTTTAAATAAAAAATAATTTTTATCAGTTTTTTCTCCTCAAAAGTTAAACTCAACTAAGAATTCAAAAATAAGTCAATAAATCAAGAGTTTATATCAATTTGTGTACAAGTAATGTGACTTTTACATACAAAAATCTATTAAAGAATGCATGAAATTCTACAAAATCTAATGAAAAGATTTAATTTCAAATGGATCAAAATTACAGAAGATCAATTTTGAGTTTTTTAGTTGAGATATCAGTTCTCAAATAATTTAAAATTTAAGAAAAAATTGACCTATTTAGCCTTGTGAAAAAGTGAGATTAGCCTCACTTTAACCATTAACAAAAGACTAGAACAAACAAACCTTTCATGAATTTTAGTTCATTTGAAAACCAGTTCTTGAAATTTTAATTTGTGTTTTGACTTTTTTGAACTTTTAAAAAAAAAAAAAAAATTAGTCCATCCCATGGTTTTTAACTATCACCTCTCTCCTCAAAAAAAAAAAAAAAAAAAAAAATCAATTCTTGGTGTTTTGATTTGAAGTTTTGCACACACATTATAAAAAATACAATCTATTTTCTAGAAAAAAATCTAGAAATTTTCAATGTTGGAAATTATATAAATTTATTTGTTAAACATTCAAAACATAGAAAATCGAAAAAAATAAAAAAATAACAAGAAATGTTCTTAAATTTCTTAAAGGGATTCGAGATAAATCCCATTGAATGATTTTCATCGTGAAGTTATTTAAATAATTGTTATTTATTTGTGATAAATAACAAAAAATTGAAAGATGAATTAAATCTCAAAAGAAAAATTAAAGTTTTAAGAGATAAAAAAAACAAATTAAAAATTCAAATATTGATTTTGAAATAAAATTGAGTGGATTTCTGACCGTTTTAGCCTTAATAAACTACGTTAAAACTTTTTCAGACTCACCACAGCGGATTAATTTCAAGACCTAACCTACTAATATTGGTGTGCTATGTTACCGCATCAACCAATTATGGATGAAATTCTTTTTAAATGATATGTTAATCATTTAATTAAACCAACTTGCTTTATTAGTTTAGTATGTATATATAAATTTAATTTATTGGGCTTTACAGCTCATGCAAATACGGGCAAATACGGTGTAGAATCATCTGGCTTATAACGACAAGGAGCAGGAAGAGTGAATGAGTTAAAATTGGCTTGGTTGGTTGGACGGATTTGAGGAAGGACAGAAAATTGCTCCTCCTCCTCTAAACAAAGATTCCATTGGTCCACGTGGCATCCACAACCTGCCATCCCCTCCCCTAAATTTACTAGGGATGTCTGGTCCATCTCTAGATTTTGAAATGAGAACACCAATATATTTTCGCTCAAATCTGTCCTTGCAAATAGGCCTTGTCTATATATGATTCACCTCTCCACATGTTTCTATGATGGACCTTCCATCACCATCACCAACTCCACCACCACCGCCGCCACCTCCACCACCAAGCCTAAGTATCATTGCCATTATCTTATTTGCTCCTCTTTCTCTGTCTCTCAGGCTATTCTTCTCTGCAACTGCATTACAGCAAAACTCATGTCTGCCACTTTTAGTGCCATATATCCCAGAATGTATTTGTTCTTCAGCTGCTTGTTCATTATTTCTTCTTTCTTGTTTACGTTTTTTTGTTCAAACAGGACCAAAAATCCCCCCCTTCACCTTTTTCCTGCTTTCATTACATTTCAATCCTCAAATGACGCACTAGTTAATTTCTATAAGCTTCCTTGCAGAATAATTTTCGACATGCCGAGAGTCTTGAGAGAAAAAAAGGTGATAAAAAAGAAGACATAACCCGTGTCGCCACTCACAAGCCTCAGTACATATAAAGTATAAACACACAGACACAGCCATTTACCAGAGACTCATCCCCACAAAATTTTGAGATTAAGTACCCTTAAAGTATTCAAGCAACTAGTAATTAAGATGGCATTTTTCTTCCAACGCTTCTGCTTTGAAGAGGTTCAAATGGATGGTGTTCCCCATGGCAGCTTCTTCTCTAGCGATCTCCTACCATCTCTGGGAGCACGGATAAACCAGGCAACCAAACTTCGAAGATATATAGTTTCCCCTTACAATTCCCGTTATAGGTTATTAAAATTGATCGCTCTATATAAAATATAATATTTCTTTCCAAGTATATATATATATATTGCAACTGCCTTCTTACACGTCCCATTCATTACAGGGCTTGGGAGATGTGGCTGGTTGTTCTAGTCGTTTACTCTGCCTGGATCTCTCCATTTGAGTTCGCTTTTCTAACATACAAGAAAGATGCTCTTTTCATCTTTGACAACATTGTCAACGGTTTCTTTGCTGTTGATATTGTTCTCACCTTCTTCGTTGCATATTTAGATAGCCAATCTTACCTCCTTATCGATGACCCTCAGAAGATAGCACTCAGGTAATTAAACAAGTGTAGCATTTCCTTCACAATGAGTCAACTTAGCAATTCTTTTCTAGCTATTATATATATATATATATAAATATATAGCTAGTAATCACTCAAATCCAATTTGCAGGTACATATCTACGTGGTTTATTTTCGATGTCTGCTCGACTGCCCCATTTCAGTCTCTTAGTCTGCTGTTCAGAAATCACGGTAGTGGGTTTGGCCTTAACATACTCAGCATGCTCAGGCTCTGGCGTCTCAGACGAGTCAGCGCCCTGTTTGCAAGGTTTGTCACCTGACTCGGATAGTTTCATTTTTCTTTGAAGTTTTATAGTTTCATTTTTCTATGAAGTTTTATATTTTTACAATGAAAGAATTGGAGTACTGAGGAGCGCCTGCTTGTTTACCAATATATAGACTTGAGAAGGACATCAGGTTCAACTATTTTTGGACTCGATGCACAAAACTGGTTTCTGTAAGTCACTAAGACTTCCACTTTCTTCATTCCAGCAACACCAAATAGGCCAACTTAGTAATATTTCCAATTGCCTTTCCCTTTGGGTGGATTTCAGGTAACCCTCTTTGCGGTACACTGTGCTGGATGCTTTAACTATTTGATTGCAGATAGATACCCGGATCCAAAGCGAACATGGATTGGTGCAGTAAACCCAAATTTTAAAGAGGAAAGTCTCTGGAATAGATACGTGACTGCAATCTACTGGTCTATTACCACTTTAACTACAACAGGTTATGGGGACCTGCATGCTGAGAACCCGAGGGAGATGCTTTTTGATATATTTTACATGCTGTTCAACTTGGGGTTGACCTCATACCTAATTGGAAATATGACAAACCTTGTAGTTCACTGGACCAGCCGCACAAGGAACTTCGTGAGTTCTCTCACTTGTAACTTTCTCGTATTCCAGTTACCAACTCGATTTCCACCTTCATAGATTAAGCATAAGTTACATGGAGTAGAACAAAGAACTCCACTCGTGTGGCAGAAATAAATTGGACAACATATCTATTCTGTCGTTCACCAATTTTACGTCAAAACTTCAGAAAACGATGGATCATTTACTCCTTGAGTGTCCATATTATTGATCCAATATACGTCAATTGTTAAGCAACACTTGTGTTTTCAATAAAGGATGCTTTATCTAGCCTCATTGCTTCTGTAAATTTAATTTATTTGCAGAGAGACACAGTCAGAGCTGCTTCAGAATTTGCTGCACGAAACCAGTTGCCTCCTCGCGTACAGGACCAAATGTTGTCACACATATGCCTGAAGTTCAAAACAGAAGGATTGAAGCAGCAAGAGACCTTAAATGGTCTGCCGAAAGCCATTCGTTCGAGCATTGCGGACTATCTCTTCCACCCTATTGCTCAAAAAGCTTCTCTCTTCCGAGGGGTCTCTCATGACTTCCTTTTCCAACTGGTAAGACTTCGCATGCATGCATCATTCCTTTTCTTCCTCCTTCCTCTCTTCTTAAGCTAAAAACATGACCCGCTGTAAACATACATGGGTAAAAGGATAAAAGACCAACAGGCAGCAGTTTAATCTTAGTAGAGGGTTAGTAGCATGTTGAGCATCAATGTTTGCCCAGTTTCAGACGACTGATGAAATTTTACTCCCTAAAAGGTTTCAGAAATGGAGGCTGAATATTTTCCACCCAAGGAGGATGTAATACTGCAGAACGAAGCTCCAACAGATCTTTACATACTGGTCTCGGGAACCGTGGTATGTAAACCTAATTTCTTTGTCATGCATTGCTTCTAAATTTCAGGATGTATCACTGACATCAGTCGTATGGGAAAACCTTTGTTACAGGATTTGATAGTGTATGTTGATGGACGTGAAGAGGTAATTCTCCCAGCTCTCTCGCTAAGTCATATATATTTCTCATAGATTAAACTAACAATAAGGTTAACATCAATTTATATCCCCACATCCACTGTACAACAGGTTATTGGGAGAGCAATTGCAGGAGAGGTGTTTGGTGAGGTTGCAGTTTTATGTTACAGGCCACAACCTTTCACAGTTAGAACCACTGAGCTTTCTCAAATACTACGACTGAACAGAACTTCCCTCATGAACACCATAAAAGCGAATCCAGAAGATGGGCGCATCATAATGAATAATCTTTCCATGGTATATGATATGATGAAGCATCTTGAGTTGTAAGATCTTTGTTGCCTTCTTTTCTTTTACCCTAACCGAATGTTGATATTCTATCCTGACCATTTACAGAAGATGAAACGGCCAGAAAGCATGTATTCTGAATCCCAAAACAGAGATGAATGGTGTACTAAGAGAGGGTGTCAAGACCATATGCATGGAGATCTATCAGTGAACAAAGCAAATGAGATAGGTTCCCAGGGATCAAAGGCTACAGAAATAAGTGAATTGGGCGAAGATACCAGCCATGAAGGGTTTGTATCAGCAGTTGAGGATAGCCAAACGGCTCTTCATGCTGCAGTTTGCAAGGGGAATATTGAAATGGTTAAGATTCTACTCGAAGGAGGAGCAAACATAAACAAACCAGATGCCAGAGGATTGACCCCAAAAGCTCTAGCGGAACAGCAAGGAAATAAAAGCATATATGATCTCTTACGATGTTACGAAAATAGGAACATCTTGAATGAACATAGAATAGATTTTATCGAGCCAGAAACTGTAGTTGACACCAAGAGTAGTCAAGGGAAACATGAAGTAAACACTGGGCCCAGTTTGTTCATCTCCCATTCAAACAAGGCACAGACAAACTCCAGCTCATGCATTTCAAGTTGTCTCCATGACGGGGAAGCAAAGAAATTGACCACGAGAGTTACTATCCATATGCAGCTTCAAAACAGAAGTACATCGCAGAGCCAACTTGGGAAGTTAATTATCCTACCTGATTCTATGGGGGAGTTGCTCCGAATTGCAGGTGAGTTTTTGACCTCCAAAGCCTGAAAATAAACCTTCATACAAGGAACAAAACTAACGAATTCAAATCGTTTTTTACCACGTACAAGAACATGGCTGAAGCTAACATTTAACAAAGATATCAAACCTTGAACAGAAACATGGCTGAAGCTAACATTTAACTAAGATATCAAACCTTGAACAGAGATCATTAGTTTTCTTAAATCATCTGTTCTTCGTTCTGTGTAATCCGATTTTCACTGTAGCAATTTGTCACACTGCAGGGGAAAAGCTTGGAGGCTACAAATTTACAAGAGTCATCAATGCTGAGAACGCAGAAATAGATGATGTCTGTGTCATTCGAGAAGGTGATCATCTGTTTCTTCTCCAAGATGACTAGGAAAATTTGGATTGTGATGTGACGTAGAATCATTCAAAGACATTGATGTATACATGCCGATAGCTTGTAGATTTTGAGCAATGTATAATGAAAATATGAACAAAAAGTGGAATGAATACATCAGGCGGCCAAATGGGGCTCCATCGTCGTTAATAATACTGGAAAATTGGTGAAGTCAAAATTACAACTGCTTGTACCCTCACTGCTTTTAGAGCAAAAACCATCGGCATAAAATTATGTGAAGTGTGATTAAAAACAACATCTTACAAGTATGCCATATTCTGGTGGACCATATAAATTGCTTTGTCCAAGAGAACTATCTTTTTCTATGGAGATCACAGCAGAGACTTAAATGACCGCAGCATTGCAGGGGAAGGGAAGTCACTCCAAAAATATCTGCATAACCACTTCATTTAACCCCCTTGAACAGAATAAATTATATATTCATGCAGAAGATCCATTCATGAATCCAAAAGGAGTAGTCGACTCTGATGCCCACTGGAAAAAAGGCTCCCAAATGTTTTCTCTTCACATACTTGTTTTGATGAGAAAGAAATACCAAGTCCTCTCATGAGCCTTTAATAGGAAAGGGATGAGCTTCTGAGTTAAAGACAAACTTATCCAATGGAATGACAGATCTATCCCCAAATAGCAAGTAGAAATACTTGAGTGTCTCGCCCAAGAAGAAGGTCTCCATTTTGTCTCTTCTCTGAGGAGGAAGGGCAGTAACATCTCCTAAAGAACTGTATCCACCGGAATCAACCTTTGTGTACTTCTCAAATGCTTCAAAGATCCGCCAACCCCATTCCTGGTATCTGCAGTGCATTATAATTGATCATATAACTATACGAATTCTGCCCAAACAAAATGAAAAATAGACAGAACCAAGGAGTATTTGAAGTGAAATTAAAAAAATACAGGCTAACTTGATAACTCAAAAAATTTAAAGAGCATACTTCGGGTCTTCTGTGATACGATACAAGACAAACAGTGATTCAACAGTTTCAGGCCGCAAAAGATTATGACGATCAGCATGTTTGATTATTATGTCATTGACAAACTTTGAATTCTTATTCCCACCATCAAGTCCATGTTCTGAATATTCCTGCTTAATCAAAACAGACATCAAATTACTAGAAAGCATAGATGCAAGGAAATACACCTTTACTCAGTTATAATGGGAGAATGCAAGTAACAATGCCACCCTGCAATTTTTCAGGAAGTGGCAACTCTGGTACTTGAACCTACATCCATGTAGAGAAGTCCAATAATATTCCATTGCACCACGTAGAAGCCCCTCAAATAAATACAAGGAAATGCAAAAAAAGAAAAAAAAAAAAAAAAAGAAGAATTTAACTACTTACAGCAAGTGGGTAGTAAAGTAACCGACTTTGGTATATTTATGGTTTAGTGAACTGCTTTCAGGAAAAAAAAAAAAAAAGATTTTAACTGCTTGCAGCAAATGGGTAGTAAAGTAACCACACTTTGGTACATTGATGGTTTAGTGAATTGCTTTCATGAAACACATATGTTAGAGAGATGTTGAAGAATAATATAAATCATATCCTGGGACTTCACTTAACAACTTAAGCTGTTAAGTGTGATAGTTCCTTGACTTGGTATTAGAGCCTTGCTAAGCTAACGGTCAAGAGTTGGAATTCTACCATCCTCACTTTCTCTTCTAATTAATTAAGTATAAGGTAGTATAAGCCTCTGCAAGTTTCAAACCCAAATAGCTTTCAATTGAGGGGGTGTGTTAAAGAGCCCAAAGAGCTTTCATCTAAGGAGGTGTGTTAGAGAATAAGATAAATCATATCCTGAGGTTTCACCTAACAGCTTAAGCTTTTAGGTGTGATAGTTCTTTGACATCATTCAAATTCAACCAACCTCAGTATGGAAGTATGCGATTTCTGGGGCAAGCCCAGTAGAAGTTACTGAATACATCTCAAAGCATGTCTTGGCTAAATCTTCTGCAAGCTTCAAATTTTCAAGGTCCTCAAAATTGAGCAAATTTTCTTTCATTGCCTTCTCCTTTGTAAGACCCTTAGTGGAACCAAGTGCAAGTGTGCCAGGCAAAAAACAGACCTGAAAAGGCCAGTAGAAAGCTCAATCGTCAATGACCATTACAAGACGAAAAGAGAGCAATAGAAACTTTCATTCCTTAGACATACATTCAATCTGGAACTGAGATATATGATGATGACCATTATGATTGGCACGCAATCCCATATTCACTAAATCAGAAAAGAAAAAGGAAAAAGAAAAAGCAAAAAAGAAGAACACATTGTTCATGGATTGACAGACATCACAAGCATTGTCCAGAAGTCAGGATTATGCAAGCCAAGGTAGACCACTGCAGAGTACGGCAGAAAAATAGAACACAAATAGCCTTCTTTTATCCCTTCCTTTTAACTAATTGCCTATAGCTGATGAAGAATCTAAATTCCTGTGAACCTCATTTCTACTGAAGGAATCTATAAGATCATTTGACACATCATAGTGTTAAGATTATCTAAAATATATGAATCAAAGAACAAAATACAGAAAGAAAAATACATTCCCAAATATAAGCCCAGGTCCTACTAGACCACAAAACAATCGTCTTAAACTAACACTGCTTAATTTTATGGAATACAATAACAAAGATTGAACAGCAATAGTTTAGTAATATTATGCCTTGAAATATTTGGGCAGCTTATTCTTGAACATGAAGTTGATTCTGACAGCGCAGGCATGGTTTTGAGTAAAGACAGAACGATAATCCATGCATCACATTACCATATGTCAATATTGCATACCCTCAACTCAAGTTAGAATTGGCTAAAAGACCTGAAAACAATGGCAAAGCAACATGTAGAGTCTAGTCAATTGATTTTTATGTGATTTTAACAGACTTCTTGTTATAAAGTGACTAATTTATGTCCTGGCCATGCATAGTATATGCTGGCATATTTTGTCCCAGCCATCCAAAGCATATGCAAGCATATATACATCAGTAAATTACCAGCTACCTCAAACCAACATAATGGGAACACCAGGCCTTGCATTAACAGCACCATTTTTCCAGATAAATCTGATAAACTAAGTTGATATCGATAATGCAGGGCATACGTCCAATACTTCATGGATCAATTCACAATGTACAAGTATTGTATGCCCTCAAATTGAGAGTTGTGTAGAACATGTAAAACAACTGCTACATACAAAACTAATATTATTTGACAGTGAAATTTTGGGGATTTTTAATGAAGTTGCAGTGGGACCAGTAATTTCCATGAAGCAAACTCCCATCTTTCGAAATATATCAAGCAAGCACAGAACACATTAGTAATTTATCAGCTAGGTCAACAACAGTACATAGAAAAAGCTCCACATACCAGGTGATCCATTTTTGGGCTAAAGGAACCTTTAGGTCCGTGAGGTAATTCCCCAACAAAAACCAATCCGTTGGGGATTGATTTCCGAACAAGTAGGTGCCTTACACCCTTCATTGCTTCCTCATACATATCATAAAGATATTTAAAATTACCATCTCGATTGGTCCCCTCCTGAAGCCATACTTTAATTAGGTACTCATAATAGCTGTCACCACGAGATCCCAATCTAATATTTTCTCCACTAAATTCACCAGAGTCAGGGCTGCAACCAGTAGGGGGATAGTATCAAACTGAATGACAATTTTTGTCTCACTGAGGAAAAAAATACAATCATCCAGCAAAACATGTAGTGCACATGAAAAAAAAAAAAAAAAAAAAAAAAAAAAAAAACCTGAAGTATTTAAAATTACACAGACAATCCAAAAGTTCAAATATTTTACAGAAATCCCATCCATGTTTAAGTAAATATTACGATAATACCCTTTTATACCCAAAATGTCCTTAATATTTTCAAAATCACCCCCTTAACAATAAGGAATTTTAAAAAACATTACGGGAATTTTGGGAACAAAGGGGGGTTTTGTAATATCTTTTAACTTTTGGATGGTCACTGTAATTTTATGATACCATAGGAAGGTTATCGTAATTTACCTATAAAATTAAAGTGAATGAGGACTATATATCAACCTTACAAAGTCAATGTTTTGGGATGTAAACACTAGAAATATAAAATTTTATGGGGATTTAGCTGCCACATTTATGTCATGGTTTAAAAAATCTCAACAAGTTGCATGTGGCAGGTAGAGGCTTGCTTTCATGAGTTTCTATTTTATGGAAGGGAAAAGAGGAGACTCGTTACTTTCTTTTTTGAAAAGAAATTTGTTTTCTTCTAATGAAATCATAATTTGCAACCATATCCCATAAAATGCGACATTGTTATTAAATGAACAGTTTTAGGAAAAAAAAAGGATTCAACAAATTTTGCTTCTAGTTGATGACCCACCACCAAAAGACCAACAAAATTAAATAAAGAAATGAGAAAAATGAAGGAATAGAAATAAATAAATACATTAATTAATTAACGACATCAGTGAAGGAGTACTGATGAATCTGTTATATACAAGGCCCATACCTTATGTATATGGGAACCAGTCCTTCAATCTTTGGAAGATTTTTCATATGTTCCAAAACCTTCATAGCTTCTATGCTGTACTTTGGATCACCAGAAACAGTGCTGAGGTAATTAAATTCAAGCTGCACAGTAGAGACTTCTGCAGTACTACTCAATCCATCGGGAGCTCGATGTGCTGATGGATCATGCAAAACAACATCACTAAAGGGAATAGAAGTTGGGCTAGAAGTAAAAGCTAAAAGCAGTCGATCAGCCAAATTTCTAGCAGTTTCAAGATAAACAATTGGTTTAGGCCCCTTATGCGTCATGTTTGTCCATTGCTCTCCTCCACTTAAATGATAAGCACTTAAAAGGCCACCCAAGACACGAATAGTAGTTTCAAATAAATTAACTTGGCCGTTCCTGCTAATCCTATCAGAAAGGTGTGTTTCAATCCACGAGCCCGCTTCAGAAATAACTTCATCAGCACCCATTATCAAGGCAGTATCAAGAGCATCAACAACAGTAGCACCTAGACCTCCTAATCCATCAACTCCTTGCTGAGTCAGGGGCATAAGTTCATCATAGCCCATTGCATACTTTTTATAGCCTGACCAAGCATGGATGAAAGCCTTCTGCACTCTTTCTTGCCTATCCATCCATTTTGAATCAGTATTTAGCTTCTGAAATTCATGAGGAAGATTATCACTGCTACCCTTTTCATCAGGCGGTAGTCGAGGAGGAAGCCTTGGTGGTTTCCTCAAAAATCTTCTGAAGCTACCAATAGCATCTGAAACGGCCTTAACTTCTTCATTCACCTTTATTCCTTCTGCTTGTCCATGGGAAACATAATGGGGAGTACTTGTATGTGTGAACATAAGATATGCTAAACCAAAGATCATTAATAATGCTAAAAATTTTCCTGTACTGAAACTTATACAATCATGCTTTACATTATTGGTGGGCAAGGACCGTGTGATCACCTGCAATAGATAATAAGTTGTAGGCATATCAATGTAAATGAATTAATCATCCAAAAGAAAAATAAGAATGGTAAATGTGAATCTTAAATGCTAGAAAGCATGGGAAAAGAAAAACTCTTAATTTGGGCACACTATTTAAAATTTTATTCATTCATAATGCGCCTATCTAATAGTTAAAATTCTGAAAACAACATGGATTACTGAGAATGAGTAATATATGGATTACAGAAAATTACAAGAACTATCCTATATCTCACTATCCATTGCCTTTCGACACCCTGATTTTTGAAACCCTATGGTCTGCATCTGTTACAATATAGATTCTTCAGAACAACCATTGTTTTAACCATACATCGATACGTTTACAAAAATAACATTACTAACTCGGTGATTTTTTGAAACTACCAAAGTGCACTTTCCTTTAAATCCTGAATTGGATTAAGATATGGTAAGCCAAAGAAAAGGCGAAAGGCAAAGGAAGTAACACAAGTTACAAACTAAACCACAGTTAAGTTTGCTGACAGTAACACAAGTTACAAACTAAACCACAGTTAAGTTTGCTGACATCATTCCTACGACCGAGCAGTTAGCCAATTAAGCTAGCATTGAGGAAAGAGCTTTCACCAAAGGACATCTACTCTTAAACATGAGAGCTGGAAGAAGGGAAAGGCTACAAATAGCAAGTTAATAGAGCAAGAAATTACCTTCTTTCCAGATATCTTTATAAATATCAAAAATGATCGAGATATAGTTCCTTAAACATGAGGGCAGGTGGAACAGAAGGGCTAGAATTAACAAGGCAATTAAGCAAAAACTCACCTTATTTCTAGATATGTGTCTCTGCACAATAAACTAACCAATACTGGAGATGAATATCCATCACCAATGAAACCCTTTGTGTATCAGAAAACTTGTACTTTTTTTCCTTCTTGTTTTCTGTTTGTTATTTTGGTAATGGAGAAAACTAAAAAAAAAAAAAACCCAAACTCCTTGTACATTCCAATATTCTATTCTATGGTGTAATTCTCGACAAACAGAAACCTCTCCAGCATTTCATCAAACATTCCCTTTGAAAAACACGTTATCACACCCTCATTGTGCCATCCAAATCTACATTCCCAACAAAACCTTTATTCCTAATAAACCAACCAACCATGATAATATATCAGCCTTTCTAATACTCCAACAAACCAGAATTACAATATTCTACCTGATCATGTAAGTTTTACCAGATGCGAGCCCCAACCTTTGACCCTGATCTCCATGCTTACATAGGTAAACTGTGTAATCCCAGGAAAAAACTTCAGCTAGACCGCCTTCCCCGGAAGGATCTCAGGCTCTGCCAGTCCAGTTGGGCATCACTGATCTTGTGATGGCTTTGTTTGGAATAGTCCAAGAACACAGCATTCTGCTCACAGCAGAATGGCATTTTATGAAACCATGGTTAGGATTTATTGGATTTAAGGAGCAGTGGGGTTTAGTTGCTGAAAGTTAAAGAAGAAAATGGGAACGCAGTCTAAAAATTCCTCACTCTGTTAGCATAGTATATTAATTATCAGTCAGAAGAAGTACTTAATCAAATGTCCAGACAAATTACTGGATCTATATGAACATAAGTATTAGCAAGAAGTTGAACTCCTACTGCGCGGATCTCTAGTTGCAGAACTAAAGCTTCATAGCTTGTATTGCATTGCTTTCATTTCTAAATTCTTTTGTTTTTTCTTTTTCAGACTCAATTTTTTCTCCTAAAACAAATCCTTCTAGTCCTTCGGCAATCCCACAATTTAAAAAATAAAAGAAAAAACTGATTAAGAAGAAAAAAGAAAAAAGAATAGAAAAGGATCGGACTGATCATATTTATTCATAGGGAAAAGAAGAGCATAATAAAGAGACTAGAAGCATTAACCTTGACGAACGAACGTTGCCGGAACTTGGCGTTGTCGTAATGGACATCTTTCATTGAATAAGGTAACGATTTCGACATGCTTGATCTTTAATTTAGGGTTTTCTTCTTCTTCTGCTGATCTTTTCTTCTCTGCTCAAGATGTTTAAGTGCAGAGGGAGAGGCAGAGTAGAGAATTTGGATCCAGTTGACAGAAAAAGAAGGATCAAATCGAACTTTGATGGAAAATTGATGACAAAATTGAATTCGCGGGAATGGAATGGGGCTGCTAGCTTTGGTATCAAGTCAATGGAGGAGCAGAGCAAAGAGAGGGGAAGGAGGGAGATCGTTCGTTTTCTCCACAACTTGGCACGTTCGCCGTGTCCCAACCAAACAGAAAGTGACAGTTGGTGATTGGAATGTTCAAGTGATTCATTTGATGATACCACCACTCCACAGTTTATTACCGAACGGTGTACCATCCTAAACTAGATTTACAATTGATTGGAATTTAGAAGAATCTATAGAGGTTAAAAAAAATTGTTCTCCTCTTTAATTTTTTTTTCAAAAAAACTTTAGGTCCTTTTATTTATTTATATATAAAGCAATATAAGGAGGTGGAGGCTGGGAAACTCACTTAAAGTATACTTTTGAATATCCAAAAACCAAAAAAGAATTTAGAAAATGTTATGAAATAATTAATGTTCATTTCATATTCTCACTACTCATTATTTTTAATGTGATTTAATTTACTATTAAATATGAAAGAATCACATTAAAAATGAGAAATTAAAAAGGTAATGCAATGGATTCAATTATTTATGCACCTTTAATGGTTTATAGTCTTTTATAATTCTCTTCCTAATCTTGAAGTCTATAAATATGCTTGATTATTTATTAATTTCTCGTACAAACATTTTGGACACATTGAGAGAATTGTTTAGAGTTATTATCTCTTGTATAGTGAAATCATTTATCCATCATTTTTCTCTCTAATTCTATTGTTGTTAGTATTTCTTTTAAGGTTTACCCCATAATTAGTCCTTATACGAGTTTCAATTTTTTTATTGAGACCCTCTAATAATTATCGACTTGATTAAAATCTTCTACTCTCACAAATTTGTTGATTGAGACCTTTCCTTAATCGTAAATCATATGTGGTGCTTTAAAAATGATGATAGCCAATCGAAACTAACATGTGAACATATGGATCCCAATTGTGAGATTATAATTCTGAAAAAAATTATAAATTTGAAAAAAATAAACAATTTTAAATTAAGAAATTGTTATTTTATAAAAATAAGAGGATAAAAATACCCTTAGCATATTATTTTACATCCAACTCGTTATCTTTTTCATCGTTACATTGTATCAAAATCCCTAAACTCCTAACCCTCTCTTCTTCTCCATTTATCCGGTAAAATCGCCTCAATTCTCTCATTTTCTTTGTAAATTGCAACTCTTCTCTTCTTCTCCATTGTTCTCACAATCCCAATTGCCCCAATTCTCTCATTTTATTTGTTTCAAAATCCTTAAATTCTAACTCTTCCCTTCTTCTCCATTATTCTCGCAATCCGCCCCGATTTGTTTCAAAATCCCTAAATCCCAAGTCTTTTCTTCTTCTTCTTCATTGTTCAACCAATCTCTAAATCCATAACCCAACACAAATTATGCTTTTATTAAATCTCTAAATCCTAAATCCCTAAGTTTTAAAATCCCTATATTGAAACCTTTGTTCGTCATTTGCAGTGTCTTCTCGCAATCTAGGAAGACATGGCTACTTCATCCACATCATCTCCCTCGTCTAAATATTTAGATGTATCACAACTCGTCAATATGTGCACTTGATGATAAAAAATTACGAGTCATATTATGAAGAACCATCGATTATATGTTTATGTGGGATGGAAACAGTGAAGGTATTGTCTTAAAGTGATAAACACCCAAGTGTTAGATTTAATGTTTACCCATTGCAATTCAATGCAAAAAGGAACGAAAGATGTTAGCTATAAATTTAAAGTGTGGTTTAAGAATGATTTAGATTGCATATCGAAAGAGATTATTTTGGGATTGCGAAATTGAAAAAACAAATACATGCAATGAATTGTAGGTTGGTTTCAAAGAATTTAAGATTGAATGAGGTGATTTCTAAGTTAAAAAAAATGAGAATTCATGTATCAAAAACAAGAATGAGGAATTATTGATTGAAATGGAGACTCGTCAAAGTTAGGAATAATGCTTACAATAAAAATAAAAATAAAAAAAAGAGAGAGAGAGGAGAAAGAGTTGCTACTACTTGGAGATTGTAGACTTGAAGTTAATGTGTGGTGATTTAATGTTGTTTAAAAATAGAATATGTCTTTTAAAAATAGAATATGTCTTTTACTTAAATTTATTTATATGATATTTGTCATTATGGTTGTAATGCTATGGGTTTGAAAGGAGTTTGATAATTTGTGTAAATTTGTTATTGATAACCCAACTAATATGATTCAAGTTATTGCAACAAGTTATTGCAAAAGGAATGCCTTTTGTTTTTGTGAATGCAAATTAACATATATTTATTTATATGATATTTGCCATTATGGTTGTAATGATGTGAGTTTGAAAAGGAGTTTGACAATTGTGTAAATTTGTTATTAATAACCCAAATAACATGCTTCAAGTTATTATAGTAAGTTATTGCAAAATGCAATTTGGCTTGAGGCTTATGGGACGTAATGGCAATAATTAGCTATAGCTCAAGACAAACCGAACCGTTTATATTGTTTATGCAAAAGCATAGGTTTTTGCAAGAAAATCTTAAACCGTTTCTCTCTTTTTCTCATGCACATAAATACTTCTCCTTCATTGATTATTTCTTTTCACTTTTTGCTCAAAAATAATAACTCTCTCTCTCTCTCTCTCTCTCTCCCTCTTTATATAAAGTATCATCACTAACTTAGTAGTAATATTCTTAAAGAAAATCAAGAATTATATAAGTAATAGATATGGGTGATGTTTTACCATTCTTGGTCGTAGTTATTATCCAATCTAGCTTTGCAAGCATGACTATTACAACAAAGCTTACAACGGATTCGGGCATGAAACCACTTGTTCTTGTTGGTTATAGGTAAATCTTTAGAACAAAAACATTTAACTACAAAAAGATATGAGATAATCGCTTTTCTAGAATGAAGTTAACCTACAAATGCATTTATGGGTTGCTAAATGCTAGCATTTGTCGACAAGTTAATTCTTATAGTTGCATCCTATTGTAACATAAAAATTCATTTTCTCTCAAGTAAATCTAATTTTACAACATGTTTTTTTCCAAATTCAAATGCATAACTACCGAAGATACCTCAATAACAAGATTAGATATCAATTATTTTAACAAAATTCCTCAAAACATCAATTAGTCTTCAATAGTATTCCTTATAGAGAATTAATCAAGTTTTAACAAAATTTCTCAAAAAATTAATTTCTTTTGGACCACTTTTATTTGTTTTGGAACCACTAGCAGCACCACTTTGTTTTATAATCCATGATGCTATAAATCTCTTAACTTTGACAACATCTCGAATTTGGTTTCTTCTTTGTTGCAGCAGCCTTCTACTTTGTTGTAACGAGTTTTCTACTTTGTTGCGGTGGCATCATTAGCCTTCTTCTTACCCTTACTACTCCTCAAAGTTGGACCACCACTTTCATCAACTTTTTCTTCGTTCATATTGATAGTAACATCATTTTTTTCTCTTATGAGAAGATGCAACTGCAACTTTTAATTTTTCCTTCCCTTAAATACAAAAAAGATTTCACATAAGATTATAAATATAAACAAACACAACAACAAATCAAATAATTTAAAACATCCAAGAATTTTTACATGACGTATTAAAGCTGGTTCAACTACAACAAAACTAAAGTTGGAAGCATTTTCAATAAAACCATGTTTAACCACAACAATGTTGGCCCAAAAGGTGCTAATCTAGAACCAAAAGCACCATCAACATCCTATGAACAAGATTGAATCAACTCTACCATAGTATATGAGATGGATAAAACCTATAAATACAACTAAAATAGAAGATATTCACCTTTTTCTTTTTAGGATTATTAGGACATGTCAATCTATTATGTCCTTTCTTGAAGCATATTTTACAAGTCATCATCCTTCCTTTTTTGGACATGTTAATTCCATTCAATGATTTTCATGATTCTAAGATTCTTTTCTTTTTTTTCCTCCTAGACAGTTTGACAATATCGGGAGCCATAACCTCTTATTTATCTATCCTAAGCCAATATTTCTCACCATTGATAGGTTCGATAGAATTCTTATATACATTGACAAGCATATCTCTTAAATACCAATATAGAACGTACCTCTCCACCTACCACTTTCTAGCAACATAAATAGTTATCACATGTGGATATGGTAAATCAATCATCTCAAACAACCTACACATCTATTATCTTTTCTCCATATGCACTATATATTTATCATTGTAATTGTATATATTAATAGCCTTATACCCATCATCACCATTATGCAACACCTTAAATTTTGTACTAAGGTCTTTGCATTCTTCTATCTCTTCCCAAATCCTAGGCCAAAGTTTCTCGTTAAACTTAACAATAAACATTCTCCTAACAACTATTCTTTTGACTACAAGCTATATAATATCCTTTAATAGTGTGACAATATTCTTGTATCTTGCTTCTAAAATAAAACCATTCCAAGTTTCATACATATTATTGTCAACTACATCGGATTTAACATGAGTTTCATAGTATGTCTTATATCATTTTAAAGGACACTTTTTCATGAAGGCTTTTAATGTTGCCTTGTTGTACTTCCCTAGATGCTTAAGATGTTCTTCCAAGTCTAGTACTGTGCTTGATTTAACACATATCTAAAATTGATTTTTAACATCTTCTCTAGTGTGTCTTCCACCGTTTTGTAAATATGTCTTTGACACATCACTTATGTTACGTTCTAGGAACTAAATCATGTGAAGCATCACATAATCCTTTTCAAAACAAACAATGTATTACAAAAAAAAAACCTCACTTTAAAATTCATAAAATTAATATATCATATTTAGTTACCTTTTGCCTATTTG